GTCTAAATGTATTATTTTGTACGTGGATATTCCACTTTCCCATCCTCTTGCTTCTTTTTCATATCCCCTACCAGGCAACAACTGATCTGCTTTCTATCCCTATAGCTTGCCTTGTACTTTCTTAATTAGTGAAATGAGACAATATTTGCTTTTTTTACTTGCTTGGCACCTTTCACTAAGCATAATTATATTACAAGTCATCGATATTGCTGTGTGTAAAAATATTTCATTTCATCTTATTGCTGAATACTATTCCATTGTAATAGCATGAGATTTAAAGATAAGGGGCCAGCAGGTGACATGGTGGTTAAGGTGCTGGTTTTCCACTTTACCAACCATGGTTCAAGTCCTGGACCCAGTGGCTTGAAAGTCACACTGGGTGTGTGAACATGCGTGCCCAAAATCCTGAGAGAAGGAATTACAGCATGCCATACCCCAGAGGGTGATTTCTCACTTTCCACCGCTCTGTTTCTGTCTCTCTCAGGCAAGTGCACATGCCCTATGGCAAAAACCTTAAAAAAAAATGATCAATGAAATTTAAAGCATTTCAGTGAACCCTAATGACGGCCGTTAGTCCAGTTTTAAGCTTCTGGGCTTTTTCCAAATAGCCCATGTCGATGATAAATTATTCAGTATCGTAAGTTGCCCAGAGCTGTCTATCGAGGGCCTGCATGTGACCATTTTAAATGTCGAGGGAAAGCTACTGGGATTTTTTTTTTTTAAATAAAATGATGTTGCAATTATTTTTCCTGTCTTGAAGGTGTTCTGTACTTATCAGGAAAAGAAATGACGGATGATGCGTTGTTGGAAAGAGCTGCATACATGCCTTGAAAAGCATGCTGTGTGCTATCGAGATGTACAGCAATCAAGCTAAATAACAAACCGTGGACCGGCAGGTGGCGTGGTGGTTAAGGCAACGGACTCCCACATGGCCCACTGTGGTTCAAGATCCAGACCTGGCGGTTTGGTTTCTCTCTCTCTCTCTCTCGTGAGCACGTGTCCTATAGCAATCGAAAATATAAAAAGAATAATAAGTATATAAAATTAAATAAATTTTTTAAAGAAAAAAAAAAGGATAAACCATAAAAAAAGAAAAAAAAAAGTCCCATGCAACCAAAGACGGGATTAGGGACCCATCTGCTACTACCGCAAACCTCTGCACTCGAGTCCCCCCTTTGGAACGCTCCTTGATTTAGAACCCGACTGAACTGAACAGAGCCTGAGAGACTCTGAGAAACTTCTCCATAAATTAGGAACGCACGCCGTAACCAAAAACCCAGAACTCATACAGAGCCCCCGACACATGCTGCCGTCCCCAGTGACCTATAATCGCGAGTTACATTTTTCTGGTTTAGTCAAAGTAAAGAAAAGGAGAAACAAACAAGACGCTGGATGTAACGCCTGAGCCGAGGGCCTGTGTGCCACGCTTCCTGTTACTGAGGGAGGCACGGATCATTCTGATGCAAGGATGGGAAGTGTTTCCCTCACACTGGTTTGAAACTATGATGAAATAGAGGTGATTTATATATTTTCGTTTTTGCTATAGGGTGCGTGCACTTGCTGGAGAGAGACAAAGAGACAGAGAAAGAGAGGGAAAGTGAGAAATCACCCCCCCTGGGGGATGGCCACACTGCAGTCCCTTCATTATTTTCCTGGGATTTTCGACATGTACGCCCAAGCCCCCGGTGTGTTTTTCAGGCCAGTGGGTCCAGGACTCAAGACACTCCGTTGGCTATGTGGAATCCAGACGCCTTAACCATAAAAAAATAAGAAAAAATGTCCCATGCAACCAAAGGTGGGATTAGAGATCCATCTGCTACTACTGCAAATCTCTGCACTTGTGTTCCCCCCTTTGGAATGCTCATTGGTTTAGGACCCGATGAGACTCTGAAAAGAACCTGAGAGACTCTGAGAAACTTCTCCATAAATTACAGCCTCCATGCCACCTGCTGGCCCTATTTATTCTTTTTAGACAAGGTCTTGCAATGTCACGAGCCTCCTGCCTCAGTTTCCTGAGTGCCTGGCTTTTACAGTGGGCTGGGAATCGAAACTGGGCCTCTTGGGTGGCCTCAGGCTGCAGAGGAGTAGCCTCAACCAGGGCACACCACCATGACTGGGCCCGTTTCAGTAAAGTATAACTTAATTTTTTTTTTTTTTTTTTTTTTTTTTCTGAGTACTGTGAGTTGATGGTTCCGTAGGTGCAGAGCCCCCTTCAAGTCCCTGGAGGGATCCAGAGTTTGAGGAACAGCACCGGTGGCTGCTGTGGGAGCCCACAGAGCTGCTCTGAGCCTTGGCAGCTCAGGCACCGGGCCTAGAAGGGAGATGCTTTCATGGCCAGAGTTTTTGCAACTCTGAATATCTTATTGCATTTCCCCCTTATTATTCTCTGACAGTGAGTGGAAAACAAAACGAAACACCGTTTTGCTGAGACAGTGGTAACATAAGGGAGGCAAAGCTGGAAACAGATAGTTGTCGAAGTCAGCAGCCGTGCCAGCCTCAAGCGCTGCTGGTGGGAGAAAGTTCAAAATGCCAGATCAGCACGACGTTAGTGGGAAACAGATATGGCTTATTAACTGTTGATGATGACGTGTATAGTATTCTCAGCTGGATTGGTCTGAGAAGTATTTCATGATAGGTGAAGTATTTTTACAAGCAAAATGAGAAATAGCGATTGACTATTTTAAAAAATAATTAGAATAATAAAAATAATGAAAAACATAGAAAAGATATTGAATGTTGAAGTGGGGAGATTAATGTCTCTGTACTGGCTGACATGCATGGCATTCCCTTTTGAAAAAACAATGTAATACACTGTAAAGTTATATGTAATCCAATGTAATATAAAGAAGATTATGATTATAATAAAAAATAAAAAAATAAAATAAATTTAAAAAATGTCAGATCAGACACGAAATGCGGTACCACTCAAGGTTGTGGCAGAGATGGATGAAAGAGGTTATTTAAATTTTTGGATTAAGGAGAATCACCCCCAAATTCTTTTGAATACAGAGAGTGGTTCATAGATCCCCAAACTGATGATGGGGTGCGGCCACTGCAGAGCTCGGAGGTTACCCATCGCTCTCCTGGCCTTGGCGGTCTTCGCAGGAAGGAGGGGCGTCCGCCTCGATGCCAGCAGTCTCAGTCAAGGTCCCCAGTACGGTTCCGCGCAACGGCATCGTCGATGCATCCGAGTGAATTTCCTCTGTCCAGTAAATACCAGCTCAAGTACATTGCAATATAATTTTTGTGTAGTAAATTATTTTATATTGGGGTAGTTGGCATAATGTCGCTGGACTCGTATGTAGTTGACCACGGTTCGAGTCCTGGACCCAGTGGTTTAAACTCAGGACAAGCATGTGTGGGTGCGTGCCCAAGATCCCGAGAGGAGAATGGAGGAGAAGGGATTGCGACGTGGCCATCCCCCTTGGGGGGTGATTTCTTGCTTTCTGTCTCTCTCTCTCTCTCTGTCTTTCTGGTGAGCGCATGTGCCCTATAGCAAAAACCTCTCCAAAAATAAAAGAAAGAAAACTATTTTATATGGTTTACATTGGACATTCCATCTACATTTTAAATGTCTTAAATAACTGCCACATGGGGACCAGCAGATGGCATAATGGTTACGTTGCTGGACTCCCACATGCCTGACCATGGTTTGAATCCTGGACCTGGTGGCTTGAAACTCACGCCAAACGCACCTGTGTGTGCCCAAAATCCCCAGAGGAGAATGAAGGAGAAGGGACTGTGGTATGACAATCTCCTCTGGGGGGTGATTTCTCGTTTTCTCTCTCTGTCTCTCCAGCGTAAGTATGCGCCCTATAGCAAAAACCTCTCTCTCAAACAAAACAAAACAAAACAAAACAAAAAAAGAAAACACAAAACCTGTCAGATATATAAAATAATTTTTGCTAGGGCTGGCAGGTGGTGTGGTGGGTAAGGGTGCTGGACCTCTACATGGCTCACTGTGGTTCGAGTCCCAGAGCTGGCAGCTTGCTTTCTCACTTTTTCTCTCTTTCTCTCTGTTCCTATCTGGTCAAATTAAAATAAATAAATAAATAAAGTTAAATAAAAATAATTCTAGAAAAATATTTTTGTTATAGGTAGGAATTTTTATTGTGTGTGTGTGTGTGTGTGTATTTAAACATTTATTTATTCATTGTCATGGTTTTCAAGCTGCTGGGTCCAGGACTTGAACCACAGTTGGGAATCCAGCACCTTAACCACCAGACCACCTGCTGACCCCTCTTGTCATATATTTTGACCCTCAAAGCCTGTTTCTGGTTTTGAGTACATAGGAGCCTTTTTTCCTATTCTTGAGAAATTCTTATTTATTTATGCTTAATTGTGCAATATTTCAAACACATAGAAAAAAATTAAGTTTATTCATTTATTTATTTCTTCCATGAGCAAGAGAGAGACAGAAACAGACTCTCAATAGGGCCTCTGCACTGCAATTCAGCCCAGTGTCAGCCAGCTCCCAGTATTGGCACACACACACATGCACACGCATGTACTTGGCCTGCTCAGGGAGGTCCAGGGACGGGCGTCGAGGGCTTTTCTCAGGGGATCCAGTTGTGTTAGCGCTATGCCATCAGCTGCCCCCAACACAGAAATTAAAGAGGCTAGACAGCAATCACTCATTCATCTATTAGCCCGCTCCACCTGATCAAGTGCGTGACACTAAGTGTTCAATGCTAAATTTTACAAACAGAAGTTACCTCTGCACCCCACCCGAGGCCATAGAAATACGTCTTCCGATTTCTGCCTTTGTCGATCGGTGTTGCCTGCTCTTTGACTCCGTGTGAGCGGAATCACCTGTTACACAGCCCGCTGTCTGGCTCGTTTCCCGGGGAAAACAGCTCATGTCCGCCCTCCTTTGCTGCTGGTAGTAGTCCGCGGTGTGAGCTCAGCGTCTGGATTACCCATTCTCCTCTTGAGAGGGAGTCTCCTTTTCTAAACCACACCTTGATCTTGCCCTTTGCCCCCTCCCGACACCTCTGACGCTGAGGGGTGACCTGCCTCTCCCTAGGCGCACATCCATGGGCTGGGGCCTCAGGGCTGTCTGTTCTGCTGCCTCCCTCCCCTGAGGCCTCAGCGAGGACAGAGGGAAGGGGGTCTTCTGAGAGAAGGAAGCCAGGTACCAGCAGGCCGTGGTGGGAGAGTATGAGGTGCTTTTCCCCAGGATGTCTTTGGCCTCTGCTTCCACTTCTGGCCTATGATTAACGAAAGCCCTCTTCCCCACTGCGCCCCTCCTCCCACCACTTCGAGGTTCTGAGTCATTATTTTAACTACCCCCCGGGAGGCTGAGCACCCTTCAGTGCTCTGCTGCCAGCCCTCCACTTCCCCTTGCTGTGCTGCTCAGTGATGGCCTTCAGAGTTGTGTTCCTCCTGGGAGGTGAGTGGGGTCCTCAGGGCTGGGGAGAAGCTTTGCAGGGACATTGGGGGGCCTCTGTCTGGTGGGGGCAGGGCCTGGTGATTCGCACCTCCAGCTCTCAGGAGGAGCTGAAGGCAGGAGAGGGCCCTGATGCTGGGGTCTCGTGTGGGAGGAGGAATCACCTAAAAAGGGGGGGAGGGTGACCTGGAAGGGGTGAAGGAAGATGGGCTCAGGGCGAAGCTGCCTGTCCGGGTAGCCACGTTCTCCAAGGCCTTCCTCCCTCCCAGTCATGGGAGCCTTGGGGTGGGGGCCGTGGGGTGGGAGAAGCTGCTCCAGCCCCGGGAGGCCACCGCTAGGGGAGTTTGGGGATCAGCTCCCTGGACCTAGATTTCCCCAAGTCCGATTTCAGGTGGGCCGACCCACTCCCGCCAGTGAACTACAAGGACCACATTCAGGTGTCATTTAAACGTCGGATTTCACGGATCCAGTGGCTTGAGAAACACCCCGGGCATGTGTACATGCATGCCCAAATTCCTGAAGGAGGGAGAAGTGGAGAAGGGACTGCAGCGTGACCATGCCCGGTGGGGCGCTTTCTCGCTTTCCCTGTCTCTGTCTCTCCCTGGGAAGCACTTGTGCCCACTGGGGTGGAGGGGGGTCCAGATTCCCAGCTTCTCTTTAGACACAGGTGGTCTGGTGGGTCTGGGCACCAGAGCCTGGTAATGGCTGCCCGCTCCAGAAGGGTGTGAGCGCTGAAGGCCGCCGCCCCCTGCCGCTCGCTTCCATCCACTCCACTCGCTGGCCTCACCTGCCTGTCCACAAGGCTCGTGAGGCTATGCCCCTTGGTCTCCTGCCACTTGTCAGACCACAGAGGTGCTCCGAAGTAGAGTCACTGGGGCCGGCAAGTGGTGTGGTGGTTGAGGCACCAGAACCCCACATGGCCGAGTGCAGTTTGAGTCCTAGACCTGGCGGCTTGCTTCCTCATTCTCTCTCTCCCTCTCTCTCTCTCTGTCTCTGTGTCTCTCTCTGGTCAAATTAAAAACAACTATAGTAATAATGAATAAAATAAACTAAAATGAATTTTTAAGAAGAAGAAGAAGTAGAGCCACTGGAGGAGAAGGGTGTAGGAGGCGAGGCCCCCTCGCATGTGATCACAGCAGGGTCCCAGCTCCCTGAACACGTGGCCTCTTTCCAGAACCACAGGTTCATTTGTCTGGACCCTCCCTGATACCCCCGGGCCAGACCCTTGACCCTCTTAGAGTTTCCCTCTCTTGGGGTTGGAGTTGACCCCTCAATCAGAGACAGCTGGGAATTCTGGAGGGAAGGGGAGGAGAGATGGCTGCTTCAAAGTGGGGAAGTCAGAAAAAGTCCTTGAAAGGCAGAGGGTCGCCCCCTGCGGCTTTGGAGCTCAGTGGCCAGGGAGGGGAGTGCGTGGGAACCCTGGCTCTGCCAGTGGCCTGCTGTGCAGTTTGGGGCCAGTTGTAAGCACCTGCTAAGAGCCAAACACTGCACCAGGCACTGGAGGATGAAACAGACCCAGTCCTCCCTGGCACCAGGCGAGGGGACATGAGAGACATAATTACAGTTAGTTAAACACAGGTTTCTAAGTGCGTTCCCCAGTCTGGGTGTGGGCTCTCTGTGCAACGAGAAGATGGGGCAAAGAACCTGTGAGCACGGTCCTCGTGGACCCTGGTTTGCCGAGGTAGTCCCTGCCCCTTCCACTCTCAGAAGGTCTGCATTTATAATCATTTATTTACGTATTTATTGGGCATAGGGTGCGTACACTGGCCAGGGAGAAACAGAGAAGCAGACAGGAAAAGTGCAAAAGCACCCCCTCCAGGGGGCACGGTCCCACTGCGGCCTCTTCTCCATCCTCCTCGGGGTGTGGGGCACACACGCTCACATGCCTGGTGTGGTTTTCCAGCCGCCAGTCCCGGACTTAAACTGCACAGTTAGCCATGTGGGGTCCAACCGCCTTAACCACCATGCCTCCAGCTGGCCTTAGTAAAGTTTATAGTCATCTTAGCTGCTCCTTTTGTAAGTTTAGAGAGAGAGAGAGAAAGACCACCCCTCACCAACTGGTCTTCGCCTCACAACCCCCCCCCATCTCAATCAGCCCAGATCATGGGCACTCAGGGAGGTCCTGGGACGTGAACCAAGGACGTTTCCCGTGAGGCCAATTGTGTTACCGCTGGCTACCACCTTTAAGGAACATTCCTGATCCATTGTGCCAGGAAGCACCTGACCTGATTTTGGATCCCAGATGCTCTTTATATATACATATATATATATATGTGTGTGTATGTATTTAATTCCATTCGTTATTATTATTTCAATTTGAGCAGAGAGAGACAGAAAGAGAGAAAGGGTAAGTAAGAAAGCAAGCCTCCAGGTCTGGGACTCGAACCACGGTTGGCCATGTGGGAGTCCAGTGCCTTAACCACCACGCCACCTGCCGCCCCTTCCAGATGTTCTTTGAAGCCTGTGAGGGGGCCTTTTGCAGCAGAGTCGCCCTTTCCTTGTGGTTTGATTACTGTGAGGGAAGGAGGGGCAGGAGCCTCACAGACAGCGAATCCATCAACACAGTGGGCGGAGATGACGCGTCCTCCGGGCAGATGGGAGTCAAGGTGGAGACGCGGGGAGGTAGCAGGATGCCAGGGAGGACAAGACTAACCGCCTCCCACCCCTCTTCCCGACATCCCCCAGTCCTGGCTTCTTATCACGGATTCAACCTGGACGTGGAGGAGCCCATGGTCTTCCAAGAAGACGCGGCCGGCTTTGGGCAGAGTGTGGTGCAGTTTGGCGCATCCCGGTAGGCCTCCCCCTCCTCGCCCCCATCCCCGCATGAGGCAACTGGGGAGCTGTCCTGGAGGAAGGGCAGCCGGAGTCAGAAGCCTTTCAAGGCTCCTCTGAGGGTCCTGATACCGCCACGTGTTATTCACGACCTCAGAAAGGGCCACAGAGCTCTAGGTGACACACAGCCTTGGGAGAAAGGCCTCCCACCTGGCCTCCAGTCATGGGAGGGCAATCTCAGCAGAGGACCATGCGATGGCCCCACTCGTTTAACTCGGGGTTCAGTGCTCTGCGGTCGGCCTCTTGAAATTCTCAATGCTTTGACCTCTGAGTTTGTGTTTTGTAAGTAAAAAGTGATGGGAGGGTGGAGGTGCTCTGAGAACTTGGTGCCTTGGCTCACCAGCCAGTGCCACCCCCCCCCCTTGGGGGATACTGGTGTCCGTGCACCTGGCAAGAGCTGCACAAGGTCAGGGTGGGGTGTACACACCCAGGGGGTATCCCCAAGTCAGAGGGAGTGCAGCACCAAACAGCAAATTCCAAATCCCAGGTGGTTAAGGGGACTGGACCCCACCTAGCCCATCACGGTTCGAACTTCACCCCAGTGGCTTAAAATACATTCTGGACCGATGCGTGTGTGTGCCCCAAATCCCACAGGATGGAGAAGTGGAGGACGAGGGATTGGGGCATATCCGTGCCCCTACTATGGGACACGTTCTCCCTCTGTCAACCTATCCTTGTCTCTCCGGTGAGCCCATGCACCCGCTGGCAATTAAAAAGGCAAACAAAGGGAACCAGCAGTTAGCGTAATGGCTATGTCGCTGGACTCCCACGTAGTCGACTGCAGTTCGCGTCCCAGACCCGGTGGCTTAAAACTCACGCCGGACGCGTGTGCGTGTGTGCCCAAGATCCCGAGAGGAGAATGGAGGAGAAGGGATTGCGGCATGGCCATCCTTCTTGGGGGGTGATTTCTCACTTTCTGTCTCTGTCTCTCTCTGTCTGTCTGGCGAGTGCACATGCCCTATAGCGAAAACCTCTCCAAAAAAAAAAGGCAAACAAAAACCACAGGATATATTGAAGGAGAGAGACTGCAGAAAAAAGGAAAATACTCCCTGTGATCCTGAGACCCCACGTTTTTATTTTGAATCAGGACCCACACATTCTGGTCTTATCTCTAGGAGCCTGTCCTCCTGTTTCAGAGACGGGGACCCAGGGTCTCAACTCACATGGTGACACAGCATAAGCAGAGTCTGGGCGGCACAGGAAGGGCAAGCTCAGAAGCAGTGGGGAATTCCAGGAAGCTCCCCAGAGGAGGTGGCCTTGGCAGCAGGCACCCGGGGACAGGAAGGTGCAGCTGACCAACAAGGGGTAGAGAGGGATCTAAGCTTAAGTGTGCACAAATCTGACTGTGGATGTAGCACCTCCAGCTCGGGGTTCCCTCGGGCCCCTCCTGATCCCCCAATACCCAACAAATCCAAAGATGATCACTGTCCTGACTTCTGTCACCATCACCTCATGTTCGGTCTCCATTTAAAAAGGAAAGAATACAAAACTGTTTATTTTTTTAAAGAATTACTTATTTAATTTTATTTGTCATTATTGTTATTATTTTTAATTTGATGTGACAGAGAGAGAGAGGGGGCAAGTGGGAAAGTAAGCTGCCAGGTGAGGGATTTGAGCCATGGCTAGCCATGTGGGAGTCCAGTGCCTTAAACATCAGGTCACCTGCCAGCCGCTACGAGACTGTGTATTGCTCACCCCTCACCAGTATTTACAACAAAGTAAACAGTGTATACTCAGTAACATTCTGATTACTACAGAGTTATTTCTTCTCCTGGCTTCTGCTGAATCGGACTCAAATACTGAAAAGATTGAGCCTGCGTGTGAGGAATGGGTCAGTACAGCCTGTGGGTTATTAGGTTGGACCAAGCTTGCCACCAGCTACACCAGCAGGTCCCAGCTGCCGCTGGTCAGGTTTTCACCAGCAAACTCAGAGACCTTCCATGAAGCGTGACACACGAGGACTGCACCTTTCTGTAAAGGAATGGGTCTCTAGAAAGAACACCCTTGCTTTTCATGACATCCCCATATAGATCCAACAAACCCTTAAATGCATATTTAATAAGCTTTGTTGGGAGGGACCAGCAGGTGGTGTGGTGGTTTAGTTACTGGACATTCCCATGTGGTCAATCATGGATCAAGTCCTGGACATGGTGGCTTGCTTTCTCTCTCTCTCTCTCTCTCTCTCTCTCTCTCTCTCTCTGTGTGTGTGTGTGTGTGTGTCTGGTCAAAATAAAATAAATGAATGAATAAATAGAATTAAATATTTTTTTTTTAATAAACTTCATTGGAATAATTAAAATAAACTCTGGGGACCAGCAGTTTTTAGTTGGTGTAATGGCTGTGTCGCTGGACTCCCATGTAGTCGACTGTGGTTCAAGTCCCGGACCCGGTGGCCTAAACTCACACCGAGCACATGTGCATGCATGCCCAAGATCCCAAGAGGAGAATGGAGGAGAAGGAATTGCGGCATGGCCATCCCCCCTGGGGATGATTTCTCGCTTTCTGTCTCTGTCTCTCTCTGTCTTTCTGGTGAGTGCACTCGCCCTAGCAAAATCTGGTGTTCAGTAGTAAGGAAGTTGTTGATAGTGATAAAATGCTTGAAAAAAATGTTTTCCTCTCAGGGAGTTTTGCGAATAAGCCATTGTATTTTTCTGACTGTAGATAGAGACATGGATTCTGATACAACTGTTTCAACTTGTCCAATTTAAATGGTTTACAATGTGTTTAAGTTCATCTAATTAATTTGTCTATTTCTTTTGAAAGTTTTGGCTTCAAGAAACTGTTTCATTTAACTTGAGGTGATCTATTTCTTGGGCAGCTCAAAAATCCCAGAAACAAAATGCACTTACTCTTGATTAGGAAATGCTGGGGTTTTTTAAAATGTATTTATTTAAATAGTGGTTTTGTTTTATCTTGTTTTGTTTTTGCTTCTTTGTTGTTAAGTTTATTGTCTTTATTGGGAATATCATAGAAAGTTATCTGGTTTAGCTCTCAGCAGCCCGCTCCTGAGCTCCGAGAAAGCTTGCCTTCTTCTGGCCTACCCGATAATTCCACCTCGTCTTTTGAACTTCTTTCTTGGGCTTCTTTCCATAGACTGGGTTCTCTTACATAGCAGTGTGAGCTTTCTTATATACGTCCTCCATCATGATGTGCCTCGGATGGACCTCTGCATTAAACTTCTTGCTTTCAGAATCATACCCATGGAGTAGTTTGGTACTGTGAGGAGGTAGACAAGCCTCCATCTACCGCTCCCTCCAGGGTCCCCAAAACTTTATTGTCAGTGGTGGTTCTGGCAAGGCCTGCATCCAGAGAGCAGGTGCAGGCACCAGGCTGACCATCGATGCTTTCTGCACTGTACTCAGCTCCTGTCACTTCCACTTGGCCTTCATAGATCTTGTCCATGCCAGTCTATTGAGAAGCCCACGGGCCAGCAGCAGGCCCGTACCATAGCTGCAGCATCATTTGCCAGGCCAACCTCACGCCGTGTTTCGGTAGTCCTTGTGCTTAAGCTGCGCAGACTATCCTATCCCCTTCTATACGGGCAGAGCAACCTGACAAATGACATCTCTGTTAGTTACACGAACTATCGTCCTGTATTTGGGTGTGTTGTACTTGTTTTTTATCCTGGATCACCAAGCATTTCTGAGCATAGAAATCAGTGTTACCCTCTCGTCGTCTTCTAAATTTCACTTGGTATCTCTTAAAGTAGGCCTTGTTCTTGACAACTTTAACACATCCCACCCTGCAGCGTAAGACCCATCCTGCAGACCCGCAGCTGCGACTTGACACAGACCTCTTAAATAAGGTTTTAAAAATTCCAACTGTAGGGAACCAGCAGTTAGCGTAATGGCTATGTCGCTGGACTCCCATGTAGTCGACCGCGGTTCGTGTCCCGGACCTGGTGGCTTAAACTCATGCCAGGCATGTGTACGTGCATGCCCAAGATCCTGAGAGGAGAATGGAGGAGAAGGGATTGCGGCGTGACCATCCCCCCCTGGGGGGTGATTTCTCGCTTTCTGTCTCTATGTCTCTGTCTGGTGAGCGCACGCGCCCTATAGCGGAAAAAAAAAAAAAAAAACCCTCAAAAAAAAAAAAATTCCAACTGTACATATCCATAAATCCACAGTGCTTTTGTGCGCACACTCAAAATCGAATGAAAACCTCATGGTCCTTAGGCATATGCAGGTTAAACTTGGGCCCTGTTTTTTTTTTAAATACTTTCTTCAATTAGTGGATAAGGCTGGTACATGTTTGTGGGGTACAATGTATTTCTCAGTACAAGAATACAATGTGTAACGCTTGAGATAATTAGCATGCCCACAACCCCAACCTTTTGTCATGACTGTGTTGGAAGCATTCTAAATCCTCCTTTTCAGTTACGTTGTGATACACAGTAAGTTACTGCCATCCTTCTTCTCCCCTCTGAGTTTCCGGACACTGGTGACCCTTTCTCCTCTGCCTGCAACTTTATCGCCATTAATCGGCCTCTCTATCCCGCACCCTTCCCAGCCTCTAGCAGTCATTCTCCAGCCCTCTGCCTCTGCCAGGCCTTTATGTATTTATTTATTTATTTTCAACTCTTTTTCTGTGCCTGGCTTATTTCACTTAACATAACGCCCTCCAAGCGTGCCCATTTAACCGCTAATGACAGAATTTTGTCTTTTTTTATTATTTTTTAAAATTTTTCCTATAGAGCATGTATGCTCACTGGAGACACAGAAAGAGAGAGAGGGAAAGTGAGAAATTACCCCTCAAGGAGAGATGGCCAGGCCTCAATCCCTTTTCCTCTACTCTCTCGGGGTTGGGGGCCTGCATGCACACATGCACCTAATGTATTTTTCAAGCCTCTGGGTCTAGGACTCAGCCTCTAAGTTGTGAGACCCAGCCACCCTAACCACCACGCCATACCCTGGGATTTTGCCGTTTTCAACATCTGCGTATTATCCCACTCTGTATATACCCACATTTTCTTTATCCACGCATCCATCCATGGACACAGGTTAATCACATCTCTTGGCTATTGTGGCTAGGGCTGAAATAAACATGGAAGTTCAGATCTCTCTCTCTCTCTTGTTTTTTTAGAGAGATTTTTGCTATAGGGTACATGTGCTCCCTGAGAGACAGAAAGTGAGAAATCACCTCTGGAGTGGGAGGGAGATGGCCACACCGCAATCCCTTCTCCTCCATTCTCCTCTTGGGACTTTGGGCATGCACACACACATGCCCCTCCTCGTGGACCTTGGGGCTGGCACACACACTTGCCAGGTGTGAGTTTCAAGCCTCTGGGGCCAGAATTGGAACGGCAGCCAGCCATGTGGGAGTCCAGCGATGTAACCATTATGCCACCTGCTGGTCCCTAGATGTATACTGACTCCCTTTGGATATTCACCTGGGGTGGGACTGCTGGTCAGATGGCAGCCCCAATTGCAGTTTCCCGAAGACCCCACCCCCATGCCGTTTTCCATAACTAACCTCCATTCTCACGGCTGTGAAGACTCAGGCTCTGGTGCTGAGCGGCCTCCCAAGTGGCAAATGCAAGCACTTCCCTCCCCGTCTCGCTGCTCCAGCACACGATGCTGCCTTGCCCTCAGCACCCCCTCTGAGTCCACCCCTTCTGTGACTATATGTCATGGCTGTGCCTCCAGACTCGTGGTGGGAGCCCCCCTGGAGGTGGCAGCCACCAACCAGACGGGACGGCTGTACGACTGCACATCTGCCGCCGGCACCTGCCAGCCCATCTCGCTGCACAGTGAGTGACCCGACCCAGCAGTCGGACCCCCAGTCCTGCCAGACCCGAGCGCACCCTCTCCGCTTCCAGCCGGACTCTCCCACAAGTGAAGGTTTCATGAGAGTGTGACCGTCTGTGTCTGTCCCCTCAGTCCCCTCAGAGGCCGTGAACATGTCCCTGGGCCTGACGCTGGCAGTCTCCTCCAACGGCTCCTGGCTGCTGGTGAGTTGGCCTGGATCACAGGAACGGCATGAAGGCTGGGATGGGGGAGGGGGGGGTGCTCTGGGGCACCCCTGTTCACAGACCTCTGCCTCCAGACCTGTGGCCCCACGGTGCACAAAGCCTGCGGGGAGAACACGTATGTGAAAGGCTCTTGCTTCCTGATGGACTCCCACCTGCAGGTCATCCGGACAGTCCCCGCTGCTCTGCCGGGTAGGTCCCTGGGAGGCAGCAGTTCTCCGCGCAGCCCCCACCACACCGAGGAGTCGGCAGAGCGGGCAGAGTAGGGGCAGGGCAGGCAGAGCAGGCAGAGTGGGCGGGCCATGGGGCCTATGTCTCGGTTCTGGTGCTGAGCATGGCTAAGAGCTCAGCAAGCCCTTGGGAACCAGCAGTTAGCGTAATGGCTATGTCGCTGGACTCCCACGTAGTCGACCGCGGTTCGCATCCCAGACCCGGTGGCTTAAAACTCACACCGGGCGCGTGTGTGTGAGTGCCCAAGATCCCGAGAGGAGAATGGAGGAGAAGGGATTGTGGTGTGGCCATGCCCCCTGGGGGGTGATTTCTCGCTTTCTGTCTCTATGTCTCTCT